TTGTCTGGTATCTATCCTTTGAGTGTGAAGTTCCTTGAGTACCATACCTGACAGGAGAAGGCAATATCTCTAGCTCTGTCTGCCACACTTCGCTACCCCTCCAAGGAGTGGGTTAGTCTGGGGCAGGGAAGGGTGTCACTTTAGAGTTCAAGGAGGCATTCCACAGATAATCTCCCTCTGCATTGATCAATGCCCTGACAAGGGCCTTCAGCATTAGTCTCACTCTGCTCCCTGGAGCCTGCTCAGACAACAAACTGGATAGAGCAGCGTACAAAGCGGCATAGCATAGGGGGTAATTTATCATCTTTAGAGCCAGATTGCCCGGGACTAAATTCTGACACACCTACCTATCAATTATGTGACCTTGGACAAGTGACTTAACTTCTCTCCATCTTGTAAAATGGATAATAGACACCTCCCGCCCCAAATGTTATTGTGAGGATTGAGATAATATATGCAAAGAGATGACCCTGTCCCGGAAGCATATAGTAAGCATGCAAATGTGAACTATTACAGGTATCCCTCACAATCTTAACCCTACTCACTACACCCAGGACAGAAACCTTAAAAAGCAAAGCAATTCACATAACTTGGTATCCTTCATGATCTGAAACCTTGCTATGTGAACCCAGAAACCAAATAGATTTGGAGAGAAAGGGATACCCTCATTATTCATATAGAATCGATCATTCTTGCCCTGGCCAGTGTAGCTCAGTTGGTTGGGCATCGTCCTGTGCACCAGGAGATGGCTAGTTCAATTTCTGGTCAGAGCACATGCCCGATTTGGGGGCTATATCCCCAGTGGGGGTGTGCAGGAGACAGCTGATTGATGCTCCGCTCTCACATAGATGCCCCTCCCCCTCTCTTGCTATTGTGCTGTAATTCATCCAGGGGGTATCTCAACCCATCTAGTTCTTCCTAGCATTAACGTAATAAACCCATTCAACTGGGTGTTGCTCTCTCTTTTGTAAAATATATTTTTATTGATTTCAGAGAAGGGAGAGGGGGAGAGAGAAATATCAACGATGAGAAAAAATTAGTGATCAACTGCTTTCTGTACATCCCCTACTGGGCAACAAGCCTGCAACCCCATATATGCCCTTGACCGGAAAGGAACCCAGGACCCTTCAGGCAGCAGGCTGACACTCTATCCACTGAGCCAAACCGGTGAGGGTTAGGTGTTGCTCTTTAAAGCAAATCAGTCCTAAGGATAATCCAAAAAGGTCATGTGGCTAGAAATTAGACTGGAAACCAAATTCATCTCAAGAGCAAAACAAATTCTAGACAGACAGGAAAGGGAAAAACAACCTGAACTGGAAATTTTTTATTCATACAAGGTTTCTTTTCAGCAACGTTCTAGAATAAGATCTGCAAATCATTTCTAGAATTTTAAGGACCGAGAATATGAATTTATTAAAGAGAACATGAGAAAAGTTTTGGTAGCAAGGCCTTTTGTTTCCTTAGCAACAAGTCCAAAGATGTAGCCAGAGGCTTAACAGAAAAGGACCCTAGTAAGGGGAGGACTTTTGCTCCCAGAACAATAAAGAAGGTAATGAGCACCAACCTTCTTTTATTAGAAAGTGGCTGGTCCTTGTGAAGCGCTGTGAAAGGAGCAAGTGGACCCAGTCGTGGCTGCCTCTGCCCCCACTGTGCCCAGGAGGTTTGGCGCAGGGACCCCCTAACAAGCCTTACAGCAGCTTGCGTCAACATGGCAGAACACCCTGGAGCTAATGATTACCACCACCTAACAGGAAACACAGAGACGTGGTGTCAGAGGGGACAGACAGTATACACAAACCCAACCAGCACTCTCACTCTCATGGGTTGGGGGAGGATGCAAAACCTTTCAGCGTCCCATTTTATTTAAGACCGCAGTCCCTAACACTCCCTCTTCTGCAACTGGAACTGACAATGTTCTCAGCCCAGGCTGTGGTAAAAAGATGCATATCTAGGGTCAAAATTCAACAGCAATAACTTACAGGAAGAAGACAATATTCTAGAAAATTAGAAACAGAAACTAAAGCAGTGTTTCTGAAGCTCCTATTTCTTGGCACAGAAAAGCATATAAAATGTCACTGTCAACTATAATACAACTCTAGATGAAGGTAAAAGCAAGCCACACAAAAGCACCTGAGTCAAAGATAAGACCTGTATGAAGAAAGGAGAATTTCAGGATCTTAAAACTATATTATGTTTATATATTAACACGGGAAGGCAACAGAAATACAGGGATCAGCTGAAACCAGTTTGGCTCAATGGATAGAGCGTCGGCCTGCAGACTGGAAGGTCCCAGGTTGGATTCTGGGCAAGGGCACGTACCTTGGTTGTGGGCACGTCCCCAATAGGGGGTGTGCAGGAGGCAGCTGATCGATGATTCTCTCTCATTGATGTTTCTAACTCTCTCTCCTTCCTTTCCTCTCTGTAAGAAAGCAACAAAAATATATTAAGAAAAAAAAGAAAAAAAGAAAAGAAATACAAGGATCATGTTCTTTATTGCATTCAAATAAATTTGGCCTTTCATCTGTCAGGCAGGCCATCTGTTTTTGGGTTTTTTTTTTTTTGGTGTGTGTGTGCTTTCGGACATCTTGCTTTTATTTCTAAACAATCTCGATGCTTCTCATTCCTCTCACAATGTTCGTAGGAAGGGAGAGAACATAAACATCCTGTAGCCCACTGCAGAGCTGATTAATGGTGAGGATATCCACTGTGAAGGACAAGATGCGGCAAGGCAAGGAGATCCCTTATGCCTGGGGATGGGCATGGCCAACTGCCCTCTGGCCTGTGCCCCTCCTCATGGGGAGGACTCCATGGAATGCCCATGACTCCTGACACAGGCTATCTATTTCTAAACTGGAGAAAATTACTGGCATAAAATGGTGCTCACTAAAGATTCAGACCAAGGAAATTCCAAGAACAATAATAGAAAATATTAATCATATTATTTTAGCCAATGGTCACTAGAGGTATACTATCAATGGCCGATTCTTTTAGACGAGGTATGGCGCAGTCACTACAGAGAGTTTGATTTTATATCTCTGCTCCAGAGTTTTGGATCAGTGGTAGGCTTCTTTAGTTATGCACACTTGAGCAATGTATGTGATCACCCAGAGTCTCAGTCCATTAAAATGGAAAATGGACACTTGCAAGGTTATTATTGAGATCATATAAAAAGTTTGTACATTTCTAGCACAGTGCCTGACACAGAAAAGCTGCTTTAAAAAGTGGTAGCTATGCTTAATCTAAGAAAGTTCAGTCGAAAGAAAGTGGCCAGTTTCTAAAATTGTACTTTCAACTGGAGACCTTGCTTATGAGTCATCTGTGGATTTACTACCCTAATGTCCAATATTAATGTAACAGATCAAAGTCCAGTCAGTCTTTCCAAAGGCAGAAGTCCAAGATCAGGTTCCAAACATAGAGGTCCATCAGACTCTCTCAGAACAAAATATTAGTCTATCAAATCAGGACTTTAGGTATTTCCTTTTTAATTTTTCAATAATACTTAGAGAACCCAGAGACACAAAAATGGAACATTTACTAGTTGAGAGCAATTTCAGCAGAGCTCAGCAAGAGAATTGAGCCCTAATGCACTAAAACAGCCATCCTATATAATAAAACCCTAATATGCAAATCAACCTAACAGCAGAACGACTGGTCAATATGACGTGCAATGGCCACCAGGGGAAGATGCTTGATGCAGGAGCTGCCCCCTGGTGGTCAGTGGGCTCCCACAGGGGGAGTGCTGCTCCGTGAGAAGCCGGGTTCACGGCTGGAGAAAGCAGCGGAGGTGTTTCTCTCATGGGTGTTTCTATTTCTCCCTCTCTCTATAAAATCAATTAAAAAAACATTTTTTAAAGGAGGAGGAAGGCTAGTCTTTACTTATTTATATTTACCTTCACACTTCAAGGAGGGTGATTAACAAAGTTTTATCCAGCAATGCTAAATGCAGCTTAGTACTCCTGGCTGGCTAAGACAGTTCCTACTATTAATACTAGACCTCGGTCATTCCCTCAGTACTCACAGATTCTTTGAATAACCATACGGATACGTGCACGACACAGTTTTATAACTGGTAACGTTATTTTTAAAATTTTATAATTTTTTATAAGAGGGAGATTTTGTTGTTCCACGTATCCATGTATTCATTCATTGGTTGATTCTTGTATGTGCCCTGACCTGGGATGGAACCAGAAACCCTGGCATCAAGGGACACTTTTCCCCAACTGAGTCCCCTGCCAGGGCTAGAACGGATCGCCTTAATACATAAGGTTCAGCATGGCCTTAGTGAGGCCACGGAAAATCAAGGTCTTTCTGAAAAGCCAGGGTATTTATTTAACATTTCTCCAACCTCCTTACTGGGGCGTGGGTTCTGCATTAAAACAAGGCAATTCCTCACGGGAAGGAACGGAATGAGTAAGTTTCGCTTCTCAAGTTTCGCTTTCCAGTCACCTCCCAGTTCTTGGAATTCGTGTTCCCGGAATCCGACAGGTGGGGAACCCTCGCGGCCCAGACCCCGGGACACCCGGGGGGATGTAGTTTCCAGACGTAGCGACTAAGTCCCCCTCACCCAGGAGAACCAGCAGGAAGGCCCCAGGCGTGGCCCCCCCGGCCGGAGCACAGAGCGATTTCCTAGCCCGGACTCTCCGGCCGCAAAGGCCTGAGGGACCCGCAAAAAAATACTTACTTCTTGCTCAGTTTTGCCTCGCCGCCGTCCACATTCACCTCAGGCTCCCGCACCGCAGCCATCTCTCCCTCCGGAGGCCCGAAGTGAAAGTAACGAGGTTGGACGGCAATTTCCCAGTCAAGGTTGGAAGCCCCGCCTCTTCCGGAGAGAAAAGGGGGCGGGTCCTCCTGGCGCGCGGCCGCCGCGCAGGCGCAGTGAGGGGCTTCGCAGCCGCCGCGCAGGCGCAGTGAGGGGCTTCGCACCGTCTGGAGCGGAGCGGTACCTCCGGTCCGTCCCGTGGCGCTCGGTGCCTAAGTTCTCCCGGTCTCTGCGTCCAGCGATGGCGGAGGCGATGGACGTGGGCAAAGACAACGGGCCCACGCACTCCTCGACTCTGTTCCTGAGGGAAGATGGCAGCTCCATCTCCTTCTACGTGCGCCCCAGCCCGGCGAAGCGCCGGCTCTCGACGCTCATCCTGCACGGCGGCGGCACCCTGTGCCGGGTGCAGGAGCCGGGCGCCGTGCTGCTGGCCCAGCCCGGGGAGGCGGCGGCCGAGGCGTCGGGCGACTTCATCTCCACGCAGTACATCCTGGACTGCGTGGAGCGCAACGAGAGGCTCGACCTGGAGGCCTATCGGCTGGGCCTGGCCGCGGCGGCCGACCCGGCAGCGGAGACGAAGAGCGGGGCTCCGGCCGAGCGCGGCGCCGCCGCCGCCGGAGAGCCCGAGCGGGGGCCGCCGCCGCTCACCGGGCGCATCGCCTTCACCGACGCGGACGACGTGGCCATCCTGACCTACGTGAAGGAGAATGCCCGCTCGGCCAGCTCCGTCACGGGCAACGCCTTGTGGAAGGCGATGGAGAGGAGCTCGCTCACGCAGCACTCGTGGCAGGCCCTGAAGGACCGCTACCTGAAGCACCTGCGGGGCCAGGAGCACAAGTACCTTCTGGGGGACGCGCCCGTGAGCCCGGCCTCCCAGAAGCTCAAGCGCAAAGCGGAGGAGGACCCGGAGGCCGCCGACAGCGGGGGTGAGGCCTGGCGCTGCGGGGGTTGGGTCCCCTCAGCCTGTGGGTCCCCTCAGCCTGAGGGTCCCCTCAGGCTGGGGGTCCCCTCGGCCTGTGCGTTCCCTCAGCCTGTGGCTCCCTTCAGCCTGGGGGTCCCCTCAGCCTGGGGGTCCCCTCAGGCTGGAGGTCCCCTCAGCCTGGGGGTCCCCTCAGCCTGTGCTGGGGCTGGTGGGGGCGGGCCCTCCATCCCCGTTCCGTCTGGCGTCCTTTTTGGCGGCTTCGGTGTCATCATCCAACCCCCTTTGACATCCGGGTAAAATCACACCATTTCCTGATATTTTAAATTTCCTTTTTCTTTCTTTTCTTTCTTTCTTTCTTTTTTTTTTTTTTTTTTAAAATATATTGATTTTTTTTTTTTTTTTTTTTTTTTTAACAGAGAGGAAGGGAGAGAGATAGAAACATCGACTAGCTGCCTCTTGCACACCCCGCACTGGGGATGTGCCCGCAACCAAGTTACATGCCCTTGACCGAATCGAACCTGGGACCCTTCATTCCGCAGGCCGTAGCTCTATCTCTATCCACTGAGCCAAACCGGTTTCAGTCAATTTCCCTTTTCAATAATTAGGATATAGCCATCGTTTAGTATTCAAAGGGTGTAAAAAAAAAAAAAGTGCTGTCTATAGAAAATTTTCTCTCTCTACTCACCAGTTAGCTATCCACAGTTTTTTTCCCCCAGAGGAACGGGAGAAACCAGCTTCGTGGGTAACTTTATCAGAGATGTTTCGGAGAGTCGTCCCATTTTATTTTAATCATTTATTTATTGAATTATAGGTGACATACAGTGTTATGTTAGTTTCAGGTGTACAGCATAGTGGTTAGATATTTGTGTACATTATGAACTGATCACCATACATTTAGTCTCCGTACAAGGTTACTGACTGTACACCGGTGTGCTGCAAGAATTTTCAAAAACGTGCAATACCTGACTAGTCAGAGAAACTGACCTCTTTTCCCTTAGATTGTCAAGTAATAAAATGACAACAGCCAACACAACAATAACTTTCCAGTGTGAATGAATCAAAATTGTACCTTTCTTTTGTAAGATCGGAAAAAACATATTTTGCTGTGCCACAGAATTTAGTAGTTTATGTATGCCGTGATATGAGAAAAGTTGAAAATCCTTGCCCTGTGCTGTACATTATATCCTGTGACTTAAAACTGGAAATTTGTACCTCTTAGTCCCCCTTATCTATTTTGCCTGCCTTCTGGCATCGTCAGTTTAAAGACACATTTCTCCTGTGTTCAGGTAAACTCAGTATAAACCATTTTACAGGCAAGCTAGATTAGTTTATTTTTCTGTTTTGGCTTAATTGAATGTGTATTCACATAAGAAGGTTCTTGGCTATTGAAAGTCCTTCCTGGTCTCATGGGTGAAGTGAATTTTTTTTTATTAATATATTTTTATTGATTCTTCACAGAGAGGAAGGGAGAGAGACAAAGAGTTAGAAACATCGATGAGAGAGAGTCATCGACCAGCTGCCTCTTGCACACCCCTACTGGGGATATGCCCCCAACCAAGGTACATGCCCTTGACCGGAATCGAACCCGGGACCCCCCAGTCCCCAAGCCGACGCTCCATCCACTGAGCCAAACCGGTTTCGGCTGAAGTGAATTTTTAAAAAAATATATATTTTTATTTATTTCAGAGAGGAAAGAAGAGGGAGAGAGAGAAACATCAATGAGGAGAGAATCATTAATTGGCTGCCTCCAGCACGCTCCCCACTGGGGGTAGAGCCCACAATCCCGGCATGTGCCCTTGGCTGGAATTGAACCTGGGACGCTTTGGTCTGCAGGTTCACACTCTATCCATTAAGCCAAGAAGTGAGTTTTTAAGTCAGTTGAATGTTGAGATGCAGGCCTGGTTAGTGCTCAGTGCAAAGGCTTTATGTCACTTCACTTTTTACATAATAATGGCTATTGGAACTTAGAGTGACAAACCCATTTGTTTAAAGAAGCTTGCTTTCTCTCTACTTCCCTTCTTTTATGTGACAGTTGAAGTCTGGGGAGGTAAAATCTATTTCTCCTTCTTGTATGCTTTGTAGAATTTTGTTTATGCTAAAAGTGACATTTCAGATTTATTCATTCAACAGAGATTTGAGTGCCAGACACTGTTATCCTGCTGGGATGTAACAATAAGTAAAAGTCCCTGTGGTCATGGAGCTTAACATGCTAGCTGGGAAGTGGTAAGTGCTACAGAAAGAAATCAGGGTAAAGGTTGGGGAGGAGGTTGTTTTCTATAGGTTTAAAGGGAAGGTTACAATGATGAGCTGATATTTGAGCAAAGACCAAAGAAAACGTGAGTAAGCCAGGTGGTTTTTTGAGGAAATGTTCCAGATAGAGGGAATAAGTGCAAAGGCCCTGAGGTGGAAATATTTTCTTAGAGCAGCAAAGAAATCACTGTGGCTGGAATGGAGTAAATGTGAGGGAGCATTCTCAGAGAGGTCAGGGCTAGGTGTGTGGGCAAAGTGTATCATTTAGGATCTTGCTTTTAATCAATGGTGTTGGGACTACTGGCAAGCCATTTTTGACTTGGGACAAAATTAGGCTGACTCACCTACTCAAAATAGTATTTTGATAATCAGATATATAAATGTAAAAATTAAAATCCTAAAGTGACTAAGAGAAAATGTAAAATATATATATTATTGATTTTTTACAGAGAAAAAAGGAGAGGGATAGATAGAGAGCTAGAAACATCGATGAAAGAGAAACAACGATTCAGCTGCCTCTTGCACACTTCCTACTGGGGATGTGCCCGCAACCAAGGTACATGCCCTTGACCGGAATTGAACCTGGGACCTTTCAGTCCGCAGGCTTACGCTCTATCCACTGAGCCAAACCAGTTAGGGCTGAATATACTTTTTAATATTAGCATGGTGATAATCCTAAAACCAAGAAGACTAAGGAAACATTTCCTAAATTTGATTACTTAAAATTAAAAGTTTTACCCAACAGGTGTAGCTCAGTGATTGATCGACAACCCATGAACCAAGAGGTCCCAGGTTCAATTCCTGGTCAGGGCACATGCCTGGGTTGTTGGCTCAATCCCCATAAGGGACATGCAGGAGATCATTGTTCCTCTTTCATCGATGTTTCTGTCTCTATCTCTCTCCCTTCCTCTCTTTCTAAAAATCAATAAAAACATACTTTAAAAACAAAACAAAAAACTTCTCATGATAAAGTTAGAGGGCAAAAATATTTCCAATACATTGCAAGAGTTAGTTTCCTTACTGTCCAAAGAGCTTGCAAAAGCTAGTAACTTAAAAAGAAAATCTAGTAAAAAAAATGAGCAAAGCAAATGGAATAAGAAGTTTCCAGAAAAGGAAATAAATGGCGATAAACAATGCAGAAATAATGGTTATTAAATAAAAGTAAAGTACACTCTGAACAGAGGACCAAATAAGCCATACCTGGACTTCTGACCCATGAAAATATGAAATAATAAATGTGTGTATGTGTATTTAAAGTAAACTAGAGCAAGGAAATGTCATACTTTATCTATCAATCTGGCAAAAATTAACAAAATAATATCCAAAGTTAGTGTGGTATATGCAAACAAGTACACTCCTACATTTTTTTTTTTTTTTAATTTATTGATTTTCTACAGAGAGGAAGAGAGAGGGATAGAGAGTCAGAAACATCAATCAGCTGTCTCCTGCACACCTGCTATTGGGGATGTGCCCACACCAAGGTACATGCCCTTGACCGGAAACGAACCTGGGACCTTTCAGTTCACAGGCCGAAGCTCTATCCACTGAGCCAAACCAGTTTCAGCACTACATTGTTAATATCAATAGAAGGAAATTGATACAATTTCTTTGAAAGGCATTGTTTAAATTGTTTATTCCCTTAACGGAGGCAATATTGCTTCTAGGAATTTATCCTACAGATATACAGAATACAAAAGGGTCACATAGTGAAAAGTAAGTCTCTATATACCCTTTCCCCTAGTTCCTCTCCCAGAGGTAACCATTACTATTGTCTTTGTTATGTGCACTTTTCACTCATGATACTAGTATACTAGAAACCAGTTCTGCAGTTTGTTTTTAACTTAAAGATAGACCTTGAAGTCTTTGTGTATGCATGTTGCTTCAACTCATTCTTTGTTTATTTTATTATAGAAATTTGTTCATTTTATTATAGAAAATTTCAAACATTTACAAAAGTAGAATAGTATAATGAACTATACTGCATGTACTCATTGTCCAACTTCACCTGATTATAGCTCCTGGTCAAGTTTTTACATCTATTCTTTTCAATCCAGACTTTTGAGATTATTTATTTATATCCTCACCTGAGGACATGCTTAGAGGAAGAGAGAAAGAGAGAAACATTTACCAGTTACCGATTGCCTTCCTTACACTCCCTGACTAGGAATCAAACAGCAACTCAGATATGTGCCCTGCCTGGGAATAGAACTGGCAACCCTTCAGTGCATGGGATGATGCTTAATCAACTGAGCCACTCCAGTCGGCAGACTTTGGGTATTATTTTGAAGTAAATGCCAGGCACCATCTATTTATTTCATCATTATCTCCAAAAGATAAGGCTTTTTAACATTACTATTTAAAAAAATTATATAAAAGAAAATTAACTTATTTTTGTGTATAGTTTATGCATTTAAAAAAAATATATATTTTATTGATTTCAGAGAGGAAGGGGCAGGGAGAGAGAGATAGAAACATCTATGGTGAGAGAGAACCATTGACTGGCTGCCTCCTGCACACTCCACACTAGGGATTGAGCCCAGATCCTGGGCATGTGCCCTGACTGGGAATCAAACCATGACCTCCTGGTTCATAGATTGACACTCAACCACTGAGCCATTCTGTCCGGGCAGTTTATGCATTTTTAAAATTTATTTTTTTACTAGAGGCCCTGTGCACAAATTTGTGCATGGGTGGGATCCTGCCAGCCTGCCCTGATTGGGGCCAATTGAGGGTGGCGCCAGCCAGGGTGAGGGGCTGTGGACAAGTCTCACTATGTGACTCTTGTATTCTGTCAAGGGGATAATTTGCATATTAGCCTTTTATTATTTATATAGGATTGTGGTAAAATGCACATCACACAAAACTTACCATTTAGCTGGTTTTAAGTGTTCAGTGGCCTTAAGTACATCCATATCATAACTTTGTTTTAATTTTTTTTATTTTATTGATTTTCTAGAGAGAGAAAGAGGAATAGAGAGTTAGAAACATCAATGAGAGAGAAACATCGACCAGCTGCCTCCTGCACACCCCCTACTGGGGATGTGCCTGCAACCAAGGTACATGCCCTTGACCAGAATCGAACCTGGTACCTTTCAGTCCGCAGGCCAACGCTCTAGCCACTGAGCCAAACCGGTTTTGGCCATATCATAACTTTTTGATATTCTAAAACTGAAACTCTATATCCATTAAACACTCCCTATTTCTCTCTCCCCCCAGCCCCTGACAAGCACTATTTTACTTTTTGTCTCTGAATTTGATTTCTCTAGATACCTTATATAAGTGGAGTCATACAATATTTGTCCTCTTGTGTCTGGCTTATTTCTCTTAAATAATGTCTTGTCAGAATTTAATTTCTTTTTAAAGCTAAATAATATTCCACTGTACGTCTAAACCACTTTTTGTTTATCTGTTTATCCATCAATGGGCATTTGGGTTGTCTCTGTCTCTTGACTATTGTGAATAATGATGCTATGGATATGGGTATAGTAAAATCTGTTTAAGACCCTGCTTTCATTTTTGGGGGGCAGAAACCCAGAAGTGGAATTGCTCATGCATATGGTAATTTTATGTGTAATAGTTTGGAGAACTGTCATACCATTTTCCAGTTATGTATTTTAACATGTATAGATTTGTATAACCATCACCAAAAATCAGGATATAGAACAGTTCCACAAAATTCCCTCATTTTGCCCATTAGCACTCTTTATTTTGTTTTTTTTTTTTTTTTTTACAGAGAGGAAGGGAGAGAGATAGAGAGCCAGAAACATCAATGAGAGAGAAACATCGACCAGCTGCCTCCTGCGCACCCCCCACTGGGGATATGCCCGCAACCAATGTACATGCCCTTGACCGGAATCGAACCCGGGACCCTTCAGTCCGCAGACCGATGCTTTACCACTGAGCCAAACTGGCTTCGGCAGCACTCTTTATTAGTTAAGTGGAAAAGAGAGCAAAGTCAAGTCCTTGGGGAACAAGGAATAAAAAGGAACCGAGAGGATGTTTAGGTTTAGGGGCCCTCCTTTGTATAGATGGTAAATGGTACATTTTGGTGTAGCCCCCAGATCAGCCTTCAACAGCTAGGAGAGCTGCCTTGCCTAAAGTCTCTGAGTGGCTGGTATCTAGTGACTGATCTATATACAGTGTTTTTGTGTGTGAGTGTGTGTGCGTGTTTAACATTTTATTTATATTTACAGAGAGGAAGGGAGAGGAATAGTTAGAAACATCAATGAGAGAGAAACATCAATCAGCTGCCTCCTGCACACCCCCTACTGGGGATGTTTCCCGCAACCAAGGCACATGCCCTTGACCGGAATCGAACCTGGGACCCCTGAGTCCGCAGGCCGACGCTCTATCCACCGAACCAAACTGGTTAGAGCTCTATATACAGTTTTAAAGTTTTGGCTCCCTTGGCCCAATTGGGCCAACCCTGAAGGACTTTCTTGCTTCAGATGAGGCCTTGTTAGCACTCTTTCACAGCTCAACTTTTTTCTGCCCGTCCTGCTTTCTTCACTTCAATGGGGGTTTTCCCAGGCATGCTCTCTGATAAACACCTTATATAGTAACCCCCACCTCAGGATTTGCTTTCCAGAGAACCCAGTTTATTTCAGTTTTGTTAATTTGAAAAATCCATTAATACAAGATAAAAAAAAATGCATTAAACTTGGAAGAGTATTTTTATTTTACATATCAGGATCTAGGAAAATTACCACCATTTGCATAGTATAATTTTTCAGAAGCAAGAGCAGAAATTATTGAATAGGCATCTTATTTTTTTTTTTTCCTCCTTCTGATAAAAAGCAGATATCTTCTAATGGAAAAAAATTACAGGCTTACTTTTGGTCCAGAGCTCACAGCATTTTTGTTTTCTGTAAAAGAGGCTCATTCTAATCTATTGCTGCTCTTCTCTGTAATAGAACCACAGAATAAGAGAACTCCCGACTTGCCTGAAGAAGAGGAGGAGGAGGAAGAAGAGGAAGAATTTGTAAAGGAAGAGGTCAAGGAGAATGAAGAAACAGTCAAAAAAATGCTTATAGAAGCCCCCCGGGGGTTTGAGGAGGTTGTGGTATGTTAACTAGATTTAACTCATTTTTTTTCTGTGTCTGCATTCTTCTCCTTTGAAATTGGTCATCCCATCTACCTTTTTTATATACCCAGTGCCTAGAAAGGTAAGAGAGAAGTTCAAGGAAGAAGAAGGTAATGGAAAGTGTGACTGATCTAGGTTCCAGGATTGTAGTTTTTGCTTTTTGACAGGAAAGCTTGAGGGAGATAGGTAGAAAAGTTGGGGCGAATTCCTTTTAAACAGTATAAAAATCCCATTTTTAGTACTTTCATCTCAGTATAAGTTTTTCAAAGTTAGTATTTTATAATAATGTTTTTATGCTTCTCAGGAACATAAATATAATTTTAAAGAGAGTTTAATTGATTGAAAAAAAACCCTCCAAATTATATGTGCATATCTTCTCCCAGAAAAAGGATATTTTATTTATTTTTAACAATATTTTTTATTGATTTCAGAGAAGAATGGAGAGGGAGAGAGAGATAAGAGACATCACTGATGAGAGAGAGTCACTGATTGGCTGCCTCCATGCCCCACACTGGGGATTGAGCCTGCAATATGGGCAATATGTCATGACTGGAAATTGAACCATGATTTGGTTCATAGATCAAAGCTCAACATTTAGCTAAACCGGCTGGGGAAAAAAGGGTCTTTTAAATTAGCTTTTCTTATTAATTTACAAAAAAGTAGTCAGGCCTCAAATCTAAATCAGGAAAATAATTGAAAATTTCTATAATTGGTGAGTGAAGGAATGCATAAGAATTGGCAGAATTTGGGGTTTGTTGCCTTGTGTAATCTGAGTTTTGTTTTATTATTTGATATTACATAGGTTAACTTTCCATAAACTTCCAAATGCTCTCAACAACTCCCAAACAAGGCCTACATAGGTCTCTTCTCACATAACATACTTTATAATGTGGTTATAGTAGTAAGTTTAGAGACCCTAATACAGCAATGTTGTGTGTGTGTTTATTTTGTTTTTATATTGATTTCAGAGAGGAAGGGAGGGAGAGAGAGATAAAAAACATCTCTTCTAATGGAAAAGAAAACAAAAAAACATATCTTCTAATGGAAAAAAAAAAGTGCAGGCTCCTGTTATGGGCTTGCAGAAGGCAGTGATCAATGATTCTCTCTCTCTGGCCCTCTCTCTTCCTCTCTGAAATCAATAAAAAAATATATAAAACAAACAAAAAGAATAATACTCTTTTAAAAAACCACACAAAACCCCTCCAAATAATCTAATGCAAAAATATACACATAAGTGTATGCACATATACTTTTTTCATATTCAGTGGAGCTTCTAATGTTCTTTTGGGATACCATAGATAATTATATATATACATACATACAGAAGCATGTTTGTGCTCACACACACCTCACCTGCACACACATTTTTCTTATCCTGTTGTCTCTCTCTCTCTCTCACACACACACACACACACACACACACACACACACACACATATATATATATATATATATATATATATATATATATATATCCACACATACTTACACACATTCAAGACAAATAAATGTAAGAAGGAACATGGCATATTAGCAGAACTGAAGGAAGCCCAGTATGATTGGAGTGAAAAGGGCAAGGAGATGGTAATTGGGAGACACCAGATATTGCAAGACTAAGTGTAACTGGGTAATTAGACTAGTTTTATCATTTTCTCTAGGTGGAGGAAAGCCCTGATTTTGAAATACACATAACAATGTGTGATGATGATCCACCCACACCTGAAGAAGACTCAGAAACACAGCCTGATGAGGAAGAAGAAGGAAAAGTTTCTCCAGCGGAAGTGGGAGCTGCAATTAAGATCATCCGGCAGTTAATGGAAAAGTTTAACTTGGATCTGTCAACAGTTACACAAGCCTTCCTAAAAAATAGTGGTGAGGTGGAGGCTACCACCTCCTTTTTGGAGTCTGGTCAGAGGACTGATGGGTATCCCATTTGGTCTCGACAGGATGACTTAGATTTGCAAAAAGGTGATGAGGATGCCAGAGATACATTAGTCAAAAAATTTGGTGCTCAGAATGTAGCTCGGAGAATTGAATTCCGAAAGAAATAATTGACAGGATAATGAGAAAAGAAAAGAGGTGTGGCAGATGAAGTGGTATTTTGTGACCATTGAACTTCAGAGATTTTTTTTTTACGTTGGAACTGACACATCTTCTAAAATGCTGTCATTGCTCTGCGAGTTCAAGATTTTGTAGCCGTGCAGAGTTGTGTAGGAGGATAAAAATAAAAGATATTGGATATATTTAGAGCTGTACCTGGCAGTATCTGTTTCTTGAAGGAAAATATAAACCAGAGAGAGGTTGGTTTACATAGTAATGTTTTTTTGGAATGGAACATGTATTTTATTGTACAGGAACTAGTAACCCAAAGGAAGAAAATTGGAAGTCAGGTCTTTTCAGGCAGCGTGAATAAAGAGCCTTCTATCCTATGGGAGAAGCTCCTCTAGATTGTGATAGATTCTAAGTCAAGGATTTAGAAATATGGGAAGATTTCATTACAAGGTTTTGAACATGGATTACTTAAAACCCTGCATCCCCCAGTGAGTTCTGATTTCTAAAATCACTTGACAGTTAATGGAAAAGTTTACCTTGATCTGCCAACTACTTTGAAAACCCCATGTTTCCTTTGCTGACTTAATATTTGGGGACCCTGCTCCTTGGCTGTTCTCTTCTTTGAGTCCTTGTTAGTCAAGCATCTAACGTGTTTCTTTACCTACCTAGTTTTGTTTAGAGAGTCTCAAGAATTGTCTTACTTGGTTTCTAGTAATAATGCATTTCCATTTGTTGAGGATAGTTTTGTGCTTGGTTGTGTTAGACTTAAAAATTAGCAAATAAATTTTTTTGTTGTGTTGCTTTTTTGTTATCGAAAATAAATGGAACTTTGTATTTGAGTCTCCAATAAGTGATTGTATTATTGTGAATAAAAGTATTCACAAAAACTTTTAGGTATAAAAATCATAAAGGAACTGATACTTTTGCTCATTATTTAGATAATAAAGTACTTCCATTTTAGAACTCTTAGGTCATTCGCAAAATGGATGGAACAAAGAGATCTGTATTAAGACTGTGAAAGATGGCAAAATAGGGTGAACTGCTGAGAGCCAAAGAGAAGAGAAGCCAATCTGAAACAATCAGAAACTATCAGGTGTGTAACAGCAGGTGTGAGTATCCCACCCATATCTCCATTTCAGCATGCCATCAATAGGAGTCCTGAGGCACCTGCTTGAGGCTATCTGTCTGCTTGAGTGCTGTGGAGTGGCTTTCAGCTTGTGTGTGGAAATTAGAGGACACATACCCCGCTTCCTCGCTTGTGGGAACCCTTAACACGGCCCGCGTGATTAGAGCCCACTCAGGGTCCGGTTTCTGGAGGCCACACACTAAAATGAAGAGAAAGACTAGAAAAGAGTTAATTTGGGACAAATGGGGGGCCAGGCAGGAGTCAGCCGCCTGTGGGAAGACTCTCTAGGCTCTGGCCTTGCTATCCCTTTTATTGAGGCTGCTATGGGATACACCCATTACCCTTAAGCAGCTTTGGGAAACACCCATAGCCCTTAGGCAGGTAATAAGCGGATTATCATATCAGTAAGGATTTACTTGATTACAAGATGGGGAAGTTGCCTCAGTTACTGTTGTCTCAATTAGATAGGGTGTGGTTGGCTCTGACCCTTCAAAACTTCAAGGTTGACCAGCCTCTTTTTGTAGTGAGACAATGATTTGTTTCCGGCACTTGCTGACCCAAAACATGACACAACTGAATACTTATTTGAGAATTATTCCATGAATGGTATAATTATTTCATGTGTCAATTTTTGGACATTGTGGACATGTTGATTACAGGGAAGAAGTCATGTTTATCAGTTAAAAGCGTTTGCTCAGAAGGATTTGGCCGATGTGTCCACTGCCTCATGTCCTGGTGCTTCTAGAGGCATTATGGTGCTTGGAAACAATCCTTTACTCAGTGAAATGAGTACAGAAGATAACCACTGCCCACAACACAGAGTATAACTTTTATTTAGGCTTCCCAGTGGTTTCTCCTTCCCCTGCATTAGTCTCATCCTGAACAGAATGAGTTCATTGTTTTGTTTCGTTTTTTAAATATATTTTATTGATTTTTTTATAGAGTGGAAGGGAGAGGGAGAGTTGGAAACATCGATGAGAAAGAAACATCAATCAGCTGCCTCCTGCACACCCCTACTGGGGATGTGCCTGCAACCAAGGTACATGCCCTTGACCGGAATCGAACCCGGGAGCTTTCAGTTTGCAGGCTGATGCTCTATCCGCTGAGCCAAACTGGATAGGGCATGAGTTCATTGTTTATCATCCTTTAAATTGCACTGATTCTGCTTCCAAAGAAAGGCCAGGACCAGGTTCTATGAGAATGATGTCTTCCTCCTGAAAGTGAGCCTTGCATTACATGGAAAAAGCCTGAAAATGTTGATTTCCTCATACTTTGGTTGCATGCTCAATCCCCATCGCCAGTTGGGGCATGTATGGGAGGCAACCAATTGATGTGTCTCTCTCTGTCTCTCCCTTTCCCTTCGACTGTCTCTAAAAATCAATGGAAAAATATCCTTGGGTGAGGATTAACAAGAAAGTAAAATAAAGGCTTGAGGTAAATATTGTTGGGGCAATTAGCCGAAAGAACGAGATGGGTCTCGAGCTGAGCTGTGTGTTGTGTGGCTCTGTGTTCCTTCCCCAGGGTCCCATTCTGCAATCACAGCCTGGTACCACTCATCGTACCATTGCACAATGGAAGAGATGTCCATCTGATCCAGATCCTGTGATTGGTGTATTCTGTGGTCAGGATGAGGCTGAGAATTGTCCTGCAACTGTAGTACTCCTGTGGCAGTCTGTTCTTTGTGATTCTGGCATTTTTCTTGGTTTTGGAGCTGGAAAGGATTATGAGCACTGGAGAGGCTCCCTCCTTGAGTCAGCGGTATTGGCAGGTAGTTTGTAAGTGTCCAAGTAGAGGGAGGGTTCTCTCTTCCCTGCCCAGCCTGCATGGGCTGTACTATCATGACACTTGGTCCTTGGTTCACAGAAGGGACAGAAGACACATGGGACAGGGGTAGAGCAGGTAGAAATGTTTGGTTATTGCTGAAAACATTGGAGGAAGGAAAAGGAGACCAGCATGGGAGCATGGTCAGATTGGTTTGGTGCTGCTGAACTATCAGATCCGGTGTCCCACTTGGGCCCTCTACCAAGGAGTTCACAGGCTTGCTTCTGCTCTGCCCTGGGTATGAAGATCTTTGGTTCTGAAACCACATGTATGCAAGGAAAAGAAGAGACATGGACATCATAAGTTAAGCAATTCTGGCACCATTTCTCATACTGTGTAAAACAAAGACAATATTAACCCAGGCCCTAATATATATATATATACATATATACATATACATATACATATACATATATATATATATATATGAAATATGTGTTCATATTTCATATATATGTGTATGTGTATATGTGTACACATAAATTAAGGTCTCATAGCACACTCACCAACAGATGAATTGAAACTGGCTGAAAAGGCATATGTTCTATTTTATTTTTTTTATTTTATATAATAAATCTTTATTGTTCAGATTATTATAGGTGTTCCTCCCCCCCCCCCCATAGCTGATTCCCCCCCACCTGATTCCCCATCCCGCCCCATGCCCTTACCCCCTGCCACTGTCTTCATCCATAGGTGTAAGATTTTTAAAAAATATATATTTTATTGATTTTTTAGAGAGGAAGGGAGAGAGAGAGAGAGCTAGAAATATCAGTGAGAGAGAAACATCGACCAGCTGCCTCTTGCACACCCCCTACCGGGGATGTGCCTACAACTAACGTACAGGCCCCTGACTGGAATCAAACCTGGGACCTTTCAGACCACAGACCAATGCTCTACCACTGAGCCAAACGGGTTTTGCCCATAAGTGTAAGATTTTTGTCCAATCTCTTCCTGCACCCCTCAAACACTCTTCCCCCTGAGAATTGTTAGTTCACTCTCTTTCTATGTCCCTGATTCTATTATATTCACCAGTCCATTCTGTTCTTCAGATTTTTTATTCACTTGATTTTTAGATTCACTTGTTGGTAGGTATGTATTTAATGTCTTTTTGTTCATAGTTTTTACTTTTACCTTTTTCTTCTTCTTCCTCTTCTTAAAGAATACCCTTCAGCATTTCATGTAATCTTGGTTTGGTGGTGATGAATTCCTTTAGCTTTTTTTTTATCTGTGTAGCTCTTTATCTGATCTTCAAATCTGAATGATAGCTTTGCTGGGTAGAGTAATCTTGGTTGTAGATTCTTGCTGTTCATTGCTTTGAATATTTCTTGCCACTCCCTTCTGGCCTGCATAGTTTCTGTTGAGAAATCAGCTGACAATCATATGGGTACTCCCTTGTAGGTAACTAACAGTTTTTCTCTTGCTGCTTTCAAGATTCTTTCTTTGTCCTTTGCTCTTGGCATTTTAATTACGATGTATCTTGGTGTGGTCCTCTTTGAATTCCTTTTGTTTGGGGTCCTGTGCATTTCCTGGACTTGTAAGTCTATTTCTTTCACCAGGTGGGGGAAATTTTCTGACATTATTTCTTCAAATAGGTTTTCAGTATCTTGCTCTCTCCTTCTGGCACCCCCATAATTTGGATGTTGGTATGCTTGAGGTTGTCCCAGACGCTCCTTACACTATCTTCAACTTTCTGGATTCTCTTTTCTTATTGCTTCTCCAGAGGAGTGTTCTTTGCCTCTTTGTATTCCAAATCTTTGACTTGATTCTTGTGTTCTTCTAGTCTGCTGTTGGGTCTCTGTATAATATTTTTTATTTTAGTCAGTGTATGTTTAATTTCTAGTCGGTCCTTTTTCATATCCTCGAGGGTCTCATTAAATTTATTGGCCTTTTCTAGGAAATTCTTGAAAAACCTTATAATCGTGGTTTTGAGCTCTATATCCAATTTTTTGTTCTTTTCCATTTCTTTCGTTTGAGATCTATTTCCTTGTCTTGGCATTTTTTTGATGCTTCCCTGAGTTGGTAGGGTGGCTTTGTGTGCTCGGTGTCCTATAT